CTAACCAGAAGGCTGGCGGTTCAAACCCACCAGCCACTCCTCGGAAGGAAGGTTGGGCAATCCTACTTCTGTAGTGATACTGCCTCGGAAACCTAAGGAGGGGTCGCTACGAGTCGGGGCCGACTCGACGGCACATAACAACAACAACAATAGTATTTGTGGCATATTTCCCCCAGTCTGTTGGTCTTTTAAATTTAGATGATGTCTTAAATGTATAAGCTTTCAATTTATATGTAGTTAAACTATTAAGAATTTTTGTAATTTCTCCACTTTTTTATTTTTATGTAGTCTTTTTTCACCCAAATAAGGAAAATATTCACCTATGTTTTTCTTTTTCCTTTAATTTTAAAAGTTACTGATAAATTCACGTAGTGTATAGTGGTGTTTTGACCTGATTTTTTCCCTAAGAGCTATTTTTCCTAGCACCATTTATTCTTCTTAAATTCTCCAACTTCATATACACACTATGGTCTACTTTGAGTTATGTATTCAATTCAACTAATGGGTAGTTTAGTATAAACACAACACTATTTTAATTACCACAACTTTATGAAACTCTTAATTCTGATCAACCAAGAATATCCATGATTTAATGAACACTGACAAAGTCTGAAGAGAAATGAGTGAATCAATAGAGCATATACTGTGGGCTCAAGGCTGAATGCTGGTTAATGTTTATATCAGGCAGTGTGAGCCAGCAGATAAAACAAGTAATGAAGAATCAAACAGGCTATTGGCCAGTTTGGTAGAGCCACTTCACACATTTCTATTAAGTGCTTAGGATCAAAGAATCTAGTGTCTAGGTCCGCCATTTTCTGACCGCAAAAGTCACTGAAGCCATTTTCTCAATTTTAAAATGAGAGTATAATAATTACCATAATCACAATAATTATCCTCTAGTTGCCTAGGGGATCAAGTAAACAATTACATGTCTATCTCTATATATGTAATCTATAAAGTTTATACAGACATTTATTATTACTGCTTGGAAAAAAAAAATATATTTATAAAATATGTTTCTGTATCTAAGTTTTAGGGAGCTCTGGTAGCATAGTGCCTAAGGCACTTGACTGCTAACCAGAAGGCTGGCGGTTCAAACCCACCAGCCACTCCTTGGAAGGAAGATGGAGCAATATACTGCCATAGATATACTGCCGTTGTGATACTGCCTCGGAAACCCAAGGAGGAGTTGCTATGAGTCAGGTCCAACTTGACGGCATATAACAATAACAACAACATATCTAAGTTTCAAAGTTAGTCAGAATTGGGTTCAAATCTTGATTTTACTAATTTATTAGCTGTGTGATGTTGGGCCCATTTCTTTGTTTATAAATAGAGCAATAGAACCTATCTCATGAGTTCAAGTACCCAGTACAGTGCCTGGCATGACGTAATTCTGACTTACGGTGACCCCATGTGTGTCAGAGTAGAACTGTGCTCCACAGGGCTTTCAATGGAGGATTTTTTGAAAACACCAGGCCTTTCCTTTGGAGCACCTTGAGATGGACTTGAACCTTCAACTTTTCAGTGCCCAGCCAAACGTGTTAACCGCTTGCACTTCCCTCTCCCCCCAGGAACTCCCAGGTAAGTGGTAGGCACTTAATGAAACTGAGGCCATAGGCTCAAACAACTAGTGGCCAGGCAGGTGACACACTGATCGGAGCACAGGGGGAAGAACATGTTACATTCAGGTTGCTACAATGATATAATGAGAAGCAGGTTTAGTTCAGGGTGCTTAACAATAGAACAAGGGGCATCAATGATGCCTGTTTTCCAGTAATTTAAGAAAAAGGTAGATGATCATTCATGTGGATATTGGAGAGATGTTTGCTTTGGTCTTATGAAGAATCACATTACAGTTCGGAGCAGCACTGCATAACCATTCATTTGTATTTTTATGAATGAATACCAGATGCTTGACTTCTATCAGAAATGTGCTAAGTGAGATAGCCATAAACAATGTAAAACAGTCCCTTCTCCTTAGGCATCTTACATTCCAAAAGGGGTGACAGCAAATACTGTTGGCTTTAATCTCAATATATATTACAACTTCAAACACTCCTCACTACTTCCACTGTTACCTCTTTGGACCAAGCACCATTATTTAGTTGGATATATATAGTTGAGTTGAATAGATAACTCAAAGCAGACCATAGTGTGTATATGAAGTTGGAGAATTTAAGAAGAATAAATGGTGCTGGGAAAAATACTCTTAGGAAAAAATCAGGTCAAAACACCATAATACAGTACATGAATTTATCAGTAACTTTTAAAATTAAAGGGAAAAAGAAAAACATAGGTGAATATTTTCATTATTTGGGTGAAAAAAGACTACCTAAAAATAACAAGTGGGAGAAATTACATCAGTAATCATCACCCGGATTACTGTAATTAGTCTTTCAAATGGTCTTTCTGCTTCCACTTGGTCTATTCAACAAAACAACCAGAGTCATCCCTTTAAAACACAAGTCAGATCATGTCTCTTTTGCAGTCAAACCCTCCAGTGGATCTCTACTTCAGAGTAAAACCCTGTCTTTACAAGGTCCCACAGCCTGCCTCTGTCCTACTGACTCTATGATCTCATTTCTTATTAGAGTCCCCCCTTCTTAATGTTGCTTCTACTTCTAAGCAGGCTCCTACCTTAGGAGATTTGTACTTGCTGTTCCCTCTGCCTATAACGCTCTTCCTTCAGATACCTGCATGGCTCAGTCCTTCAACTACTTCATATATATCTGTTCAATTATCATAGGTCCAGTCTGGCTTTAAACTGCAATGTTCCATTGTTTGTGGGTATATGGATATATAAATGCACACACACATACCCACAGATTGTTTAAAAAATACGGGGCATTATTTATTCATTCCACGGGAATGATTCCTTTTTAGGTTTTAGAGAGTCATTGGGATGGCACCAATATTCATTTGTAGTTTTAATGAGTAACTTACTTTTATCCTAAAGCACTTTTCTCTGAGACTTTCTGTAAGGTGCTGTTTTCCATCACATAGTGAACTTTTTTCAGATTGTACTACTTCTTTGTGGCTGTGTTGGTCCTGCTTTGGTATAAAGAAATAAACAGGGCTTCAGCTATAACTATATTCACATATAATGTCTAATCATACACACCATTGATTACATTTTTTGACATCATTTCAACAGTGAAATTAAATGTATTTGTAACTAAAAACAATGTTAAAAATGGCCACCAAAAAAAACCAAAAAACGAAAAAGAAAGGAAGAAAGAATACTAGTAAATCTTTCAGTGACTGACCTCAACTAATTGGGAAAAATGGTAGGACCATTTTTTTGGAGACAAGGTTTGTTTTTGTAGTCATCATTGTTGCAAATTAGATTTTAGATTTATTTCTGTTTCCTAGTTTTCCAAGTCTCTGAATTATAATTATTTCTGCCAACTAAACAGATAGAGTGGGAGCTCTGGTAGCATAGTGCCTAAGGCACTTGACTGCTAACCAGAAGGCTGGCGGTTCAAACCCACCAGCCACTCCTTGGAAGGAAGGTGGGGCAATCTACTTCCGTAGAGATACTGCCTCGGAAACCCAAGGAGGGGTCGGTCGGGTCCGACTCGATGGCACATAACGACAAACAGATACAGTGACTGCAAAAATGGGCTCAAATGTAGCAAAGATTATGAGGATGGTGCAGTTCTTCTGTACATAGGGTCAGTATGAGTTGGAACAGACTTGACAACAACCAACGACAAAAATAATAAATATACTAGCAAAATCACTTATATCATCTATGATGTTCCAAGCCATTGCAAAAACCCTAGTGTAAAAAGTGCATACCCTGTTTTTATTTTGTATTTTTGATTAAAAATAAAAATTTTTTCCTTCTTATTTATTTTGTTCACTACAGTACTTAGAAGAATGCCTAACTGTTCAATAAATATTTGTTGAATGAATTAAATCTTTTAAAAAATTTACTTAGAGCCAAAATACAGATGATTTTCAAGTGCCTGATGTTTTTGTTGAGACTGCAAATGATATTTTCTACTTTATTCTTTCCTTACTCTTGAGATACATGGTTCTAAATATTTGTAAGCTGTGATATTGAAGAACTTCTTTTTTTATATTCATCTTATCTTTTTTCATTCTAACTTCACTAATAAGAACCATACCTTTAGGACTCTATCCCATAGAGAGAGGAGTTTACTTACATTTAATTTGTTATTAACTTAATCTTCCAAAGATTAAGATTTCTCCACTGAAAATAATGCAATCTCTTGGTTTAAATAAACTTAAAACAATTATATTAGTACCTCTAGTAACATCATGCCTAAGGCATTTGACTGCTAACCAGAAAGCTGGTGGTTCAAACCCACCAGCCACTCCTTGGAAGGAAGATTGATACTTCCATAGAGGTATCACCTCAGAAACCCAAGGAAGGGTCACTATTCTTTCCTTACTCTTCAGACACATGATTCTAAATATTTGTAAACAGTGATATTAGAACTTCTTCTTTTCAATTCATCTTATATTGTTTCATTCTAACTTCACTAATAAGAGCCATACTTGTAGGACTCTATCCCATAGAGAGAGGGGTTTACTTAGATTTAATCTTTTATAAACTTAATCTTTCAAATATTTCTCCACTGAAAATAATGCTATCTCATGGTTTAAATAAACTTAAAACAATTATATTAAGAAAAATAAAATGGTCTGCTTTATTTAACAAGTCTTTCCTTAAATTTAAGATGTCATTTTCTGAAAAATATTTTGGCTTCTTTTAAAATTGTACTTCCTACTCGTGTGAGAAATTATCATAATAGTTTTTCCACTATCACTTTTATCATCATTTACTATTTGTAAAAATTTCTAGGGGGAAAAAAGTGCTGTTATACTTTCTAAAAAAGTTTCTTATAAATAGTTACTATATTGGGGAAAATACTGAACTCACTCTAGCTATAATTTCTCTTAAGGTTTCTCTGAGTTGGTTCCTCTCCATTTTGAGGGACTTTTTTATTCTCCTTAGCTCATCCCTTTCTTTAGCTACAAATCTTATTTCTTCAATGGTTTCATGAAGTCTCTTAGTCAAATGCAAGTTTTCCATTTGCACATTTTGCATAGATAAATTCTGGGCCTCAAATTGCTTTTCTTCAATTGTTCGATTTCATTCATTTTTTTCTGAATTCTACTGATAATCGTTTTTCAGTTTAAGAAGTTGAAACTATTTTTTCTGAAGTTCTTGGATGTTGAGATAATTATAAAACAAGTTAGAATGTACACAGAATTCCTTCAAGTAAGGAAAATAGTATTTATTTGCTATGTATAAACATATGTCTATAGATACATATCTATATCTACATCCATGTCATTTCTCATTCTGCAAATAATAATTTTGGACAGTTCCTCCCTAAAAAAAACAAACCAATACATACCTTTTTCTGTAATTCATCTTTAGATTTATTTAAATCCTTCTGAGTATTTGAAGTTTCAGCTGTCTTTTCTACAGTTTTCTCCTTGAATTTATCAATAGTTTCCTGGTGTTCTTTTAAATACGTACGAGCCATTTTTAGTTCCTGTTGTGTTGCCAGATCCTTTATTATTGGAAGAAATTGAGAAATATGATGATAAAAATCACAAATTGTCTTACCAATTAACTAGTTCAAACAAAATTTAAAAAAAACCATGATTAGAGTTAAAACAACCACCACAAAAAATCAAGCCCAACAACAATCAAAATTAGAACAGTAACAGAAAGATTAAAGTGAAAGTTCCTGTCCCTACCTAGCTGATCCCCTCCTAGTCCTGCTCCCTGTTGATTCTGCCACTTGCTATTCTCCATTCATATTGCTTGGGTATCTTTCTAAATCAATATCACATAAATAGCACCCCATTCTTGTGCTTAGTATTCAGTTATGCAGATGAACCTGACTTAGTCTTATCTGTAGACTCCTTTTAGCTTTTGGTCACAAATTTTCATCACAAATAATGCTGAAGTGAACATTGCAATTTTGCCCAAATTTGTGAATATATTTTATTAGTGGGAGAATTACTAAAAATGAACCGTTATAGAAATTGCACATGCTGATATATTTTACTAAAGATATTGTTAAACTCTCTCCTTAAAACGTTGTAACATTTACATTCTCACTAACAGTATATTTGCTGGATGGAAAGAAAGAGTACAACTCACCCTAGTTATGGCTTCCTGTAGGTTTTTCTTGAGCTGGTCTCTCTCCAGTTTGAGAGCTTCTTCCACTCTCTTTAGATCATCTCTTTCTTTCATTACAGATTTCTTTTCTTCAAGGTTTTCATGAAGTTTCTGAGCCAAATTTAAATTCTCCATTTCTATTTTATTGAGAGTTAAACTTTGGGCCTTTAGTTGTTTCTTTAATCGTTCTATTTCACACATTTTTTTCTGTGTCTCACTGACATCTTCTTTTAACTTAAGAAGTTGGTGCTCATTTGCCTTAAGTTCTTGGATCTTAAGATAATCATAAAATAACACGTTAGAATACTGAAGGTTTTTAAAGAAAGGATAAAAAATAGTTTCTAAATGACTAAGGCAGTAGTCTTCCTATGTCACTCTTATTAATAGCCTACATAATCCCACAAAAGATTTTCAAGTATGACATACAGAGTGCACTAATCTTAAATATATAGCTCAGTTTTTCTTGATACACACCTACATCAATGTAAATAGGAGCTCTTGGTGGTGTAGTGCCTAAGGGATCTGACTGCTACCCAGGAGGCTGGTGGGTTTGAACCACTCCTTAGAAAGATCAGGCAATCTACTTCTGTAGTGATATCGCCTTGGAAACCCAAGGAGGGGTCACTATGAGTCAGATCTGACTTGATGGCAGTGAATTTGGTTGTTTGGTTTTGGTTTTATGTAACCAAAACCCAGATTAAGATAGAGAACATTTCTAGCACCCCTATAAGGTCCTGTGTGCCCCCCTTCCTAGTTTAATCTCTGGTATATTCTGACCTTTCTCATCCTAAATTAGCTTTACCTATTTTAAACTTTATATAAATGGAATCAAATAGTATGTACACTCCTGTGTCTGGCTTTCATCCAAAATATCTGTAAAATTCACTCATGCTGTTGTATAGTCCAGTAATTTGTTCTTAAAAAAAAAAAACTCCATGTTGTATTAGTTTGTAGAAATTTGTAACAATGTATTTATCTCTTCTTCTGTTGATAGGCATTTAGGCTGTTTATAGTTTTTTGATATTATAAACATTGTGCATGTCTTTTGTGGACATATGTACTCTTTTCCCAATTAGTACATACCCAACCAGTGGAATTACTGAGTTACACAAGGTAGGTATATGTTTAGCTTTAATAAAAACGGCCAAGTAGTTTTCCAAAGTGACTGATGATTTTATTGTTGTTGTTAGGTGCCATCGAGTCATTTCTGACTCATAGGGACCCCATGCACAGCAGAACGAAACACTGCCCGATCCCGTGCCAGCTCCATGATCCCTGCTATAATTAAGCCCATCATTGCAGCCATCGTGTCAATCCATCTGGTTGAAGGCCTCCCCCTCCTTTGTCGACCCTCCACCTTACCAAGCATGACATCCTTCTCCAGGAAATGGTCCCTTCTGACAACATGACCAAAGTAGGTGGGATGAAGTCTGGCTATTCTTGCTTCCAAGAAGCATTTTGGGTGTACTTCCTCCAGGACAGATCTGTTACTTATTTTAGTAGTCCATGGTACTTTCAGCATTCTTCACCAGCACCACAACTCAAAAGCATCAACTCTTCTTTGGTCTTCCTTATTCA